GAGCATCCCACAGTAATTTCTGGTCGAGAGCAACCCCAAGGAATACGACACTACCTGCCATCGGTTCTGTTCTTTTTAATGAGAAAACATAGTTTTGGGTTTTGCCTTCGTTCAAGAAGAGTTTATTAGCTGAAAACCATTGCTTGGCTCTTGCCTGTGCCTCTCTAGACATGTCGGTTGCTGTCTGTATGTCGGTGTGTTTGACTTGTTCTGTTGTGTCATCTGCAAAATTGAAGATTTTTTCTGTTCTTGCTATGTTTGGCAGGTCGTTTATGTAAAGTAAGAACAAAATAGGCCCCAGGATCGAACCTTGGGGTACTCCCATTCTGACTTCCTGCTTATAGGACATTATATTGTTAAAACTGACTGCTTGTTGACGTTTTGTTAAATATGATCTTATAAGATTTATGCTTTGAGGTGAAATAGCTATTTATGTACCAAGGGGATTATGTAGATTATAATGCCCGAAGGCGAAACTAGCCCGAGGGCCTATGGCCCGAGGGATATATTTCGCCTGAAGGGCATTATAATCTTGAAATCCCCGTGGTGCATACAATGCTTTATTTTCTACTCAACACAATGTTTTTTCATCAATTTGTTATTAACAAAATCAGTTAAACTTGTGTGACAGAATATTGTTTTGTATTTTGACATGTACCTGTACCTGCGACCTGTACATAGAAACGAAATAAATTAATATATCTATAAACATCTCATAAGGCAAGGCAACGGTGGTGGTCCTGTGGGTTAACGCGCTGGACTACATGGGAAACATTGATGGTAGACCGGGTTCGAATCCTGGCTAGACCGAAAATTATTTTCGGTCAGACATTTAGTGGCTGCCTAGGGTAAAGTGCAAATTAATAGAACAACAACAACAAAAACACCTTAAGGTATTATAAGCGGGCGTTATAGATCATAACGCCCGCAAAAGCGGGCGTTATGGATCAGGTTGTTATAGGTGTGTTAACGTATTTCGTTTCCTAGGTATTATGGATCTATAATAGTAAAGTAGAAAATAAAATGATAAAAAGGTAGTTTGTCAAGTAAAATGTCGTGAGAGCCACAGTCAAAAGCCTTGCTCAGGTCGCAAAAGATTGAGACTGTGTGTTGTGAGTCTTCAAAACCCTCCGTTATGTTTTCTACTAGTCTTAGGATTGCCAATGCTATGCTTAACACTACTAGTTGACATCAATGTCAATTACTAAAAAACTTAGGTTTCTTGTTCTAGTGCTTGACACCAGGCTCATTCCTCCTTTAGAAGTTAAAATCACTTTTTTTATAGAACATTCATTTCTCCTATATCTGCACGTCAAAATGGTACAACTTTAATCACAATCATACAACGTTTAATTAAAAAAAAAAATTTTTTTATAAACTTACCTTCTTAACACTTATATTAAGTAAATTCACTAGAGACGAACTAGATGCGACCATGCAACACAAAAATGGCACCAAACTGCCCTTATGAACTAGAATGATTCCAAAATTAGACAGTAGTCGCCTCGCAGATGTCGCTTGTTAGTCCGGTGTTCACATAATATTAGAAAACAAATTTAATTTCCTATTTTGAATGATTAAAATTGAGAATGTCAACTACTAAGACTATGTCAAGTACTAGTGCGTTTACCTTATATTGTATGTTCAAATTTATGGCTTTGTATTGTCGGCAATAGACAAAAATTTTGTCAGCAACATTTTGTTTTAAGACAATAAAGCTATTTTTGACTTTGACTTTGACTTTGTATGCAACAGGTGTATAAAGCACCTTTTTTAAAAATGTTAATTTTGCCAAGCACATTACACACTTGTTGCATAAATAGCTATTAATTGCTTGTGTGTTAAGCTCCACTTTTTTCACTAATGTGATTGTTGTACAAGCCATGTTAACTTTACACACTTGGTGCTGGGTGCATAAATACATAGGTAAAGTAAAGTAAAGTAATTTATTGATGTCAATATACACAAAGCATTTAGGTACACAAATCAACAATATAATAAAATAATAAGGGGCTCCATCCCATGCTAGAATCCCATATGGCATGACAGAGTGCAACATGCCATAATAAGTACTCAGCACTTTGTCCTAAGATACTCAGTCACAAAGATTCCTCAGCAAGAAAACACTGCTCCTCAACCTTCCTGACATATTATCTGTATGCACATCCCATGTGAGTCTTGGATCGAGATCTATTCCTAAAAACTTCACTTCAGGTGGATTTGTTAAATCCTGAGTATCTCGCATTGAAAACAGCATTGTTTGAGTTTTATCCCCATTTAGCATAAACCTGTTGGCGTTAAACCAACTTTCGGCCTTCAATCGTGCTTCACGCGACCTCTAGTCCAAGGCATGTAGATCATTATCTTGAATAGTGAGAGTAGTGTCATCTGCGAAAAGTATGTATCTGGCTAGTTCACTCATTGGTAGTTATAAAGATGAGGAAAAGAATAGGTCCTAAAACGGAGCCCTGTGGTACACCTACCCTTAAGAAACCCTCAGAAGACAATACTCCCCTCACCCTTACCATTTGCCTGCGTTCACTCAGATGCGATTCCAGTATTTGTATGGCGCCCGCTGAGAAATTGTAGAACTTTATTTTTCTCAGTAGGACATCACACAAGACACAATCAAAAGCCTTGCTCAGGTCATAGAAATGTGCTAAGAGGTGTTCACGTTTCTCAAAAGCATCCATTATATTCGAGAGAAGATTAAGAACTGCAAGAACTGTGCCTTTTCCCTTTCTGAATCCAAACTGGCTATCAGTAAACAAGCTGTTGCTCTCAAAGAAATCAGTAATCCTGCATGCCATGCACCTTTCAATAAACTTCGACATAATTGGCAACAACGAGATGGGACAATAGTTAAAAATGTCATTCCTGTCCCCTTTTTTTAAAAATCGAAGTAATTGCAGCCCTCTTGAATGACTTAGGAAATGTATTCTCTCTAAAGCATAGGTTTATCCTCGGGTTTATCATCTTTGTCAATCGTACCAAGATAATATTTTTTATGTTCTTGATAGGCTGTACATTGAGACCATATATCCCCACTTTTTTTAAAAATTATAGCTAACTTCCCCAAATGAAAATTCTTCCTTTAGGAAAGCTAGCTTTTCCAACCCCTCAAGGGAATTTCGATGTGTTTTTGGAAATCTATTTTATGTATTATCTGGGATGGTCAAGAAAAAAGAATTGAAATTTTCAGGGTTTATGCTAGGTAGCAACTCAGATTTATTGAAATTTCCTCTATGACCGTTAATGATGTTCCACATTGTCCTGATAGGACTTTTTGAAGTTTCTATTAAGTTATCGTTAGCTTATTTTTTTGCTTGTTTAATGGCCTTATTGCAAACCCTTTTGAAACCTCTATATTCCTCTCTGTTTCCCAGGGTAATATTGTTTGCACACTTCCCCCAGAAAATGTAATTGATCCCTCATTTTACGTAGAGCTTCACTAAACCAAGATATGCTATGCGGCCGGTCACCCCTTGAATAGTAGGAGTTTTTAGAAAATGACTGCAGATATGCATTCTGAATTTTATTAATGAAGATCTCAAATTTCTCATCAGCAGAGATGTTTTCTGAAATGAAATCCCATGAGTGGGATTCCACAATATTATAGAATTGTTGAATACGTTGTTGTGTAATTGGCCTTGAAGTTTGTTTACTCATTGATTTTTGCTCAGTTTTTAGACACAAATAAAGGATAAGTACTTGCCCAATGTGGTCAGAAAGATGTAGATCTACTGTTTCTCCCACAGCAGTATTTTTAGAAAAGTTGACAAAGATGTTATCTAGGCAGGCGTCCCCCCGCGTACCCCCAGAGACCATGGGTTGGAAGCCATATGTACCTAATGCATCACCTAGCTAGTACCTAGCTATTATATTTTTGAATTATTCATTATTTGGATTAAGTAATGTTTGGGAATTTCTCAAAAACTTTTGGAGGCAATATCCCTAAGAATTTCTGATCAATTCTATTTTATTCTTGAGATATGTAGTAGCAAATTACAACACAAAATCAACCTATTTTACATTAGTTTATGTAAGTCCCTATATAATAAACACAACACTTCCAATTTCCAAATATTCCATGAAATTAGAGGAATCTTGAAATTCTTAAACTTTTCAAATTTTCTCCAGATTGATTAACGCAATTTTATTTCTGGAACTATAACTCCAAATGGGCTGAAATTATCATGGATTGTAGTCCTCTACTGGGATGAGAATCGTTGAAAATTTCAGCTTTCTATCTATAATAGAACAAAAGTTATGCCCTTCCAAAGTTTTCCAAAATCTAAATCATAAGGGGGCTACCTTCTTACTAAAACGATGAAATTTCAATTTTTTTTTGTTGAGATTTTGTATCCTAATGGTCAATTAACATCTCACAAACTCCATAAACTAAATTATTCGCAGATTTGGCCCCGAAATCTATGAGAAAGGGCACTCAGAAAAATTGAAAAATTGATAAATCACCCCAATTTGCTTAACACAATTTTAGCTCAGGAACTATAAGTGCAAATGAGCTGAAAGTTTTCCAAAATCTAAATCATAAGGTAGGTACCTTCTTACTGAATGGATGAAATTTCATCATAACCTACCTCAGTATTTTATCCATTTTTACTTTTGTCTTTATCCATTTTAATGATTGTACAGTTGTGTCTTTTGTATTTTGCAATAATATTTTTGATTGGCTAAGATTCTTGTCAGTAAAGTACCTACTTTCCTTTGTAAAATGGTTAAACTGTTAACTAGCGTGTATTTGCTAAATAAAGAATTTTTAGAATTCGTTTTTGGAAGCCAGTCAAAGAGCTGAATCAAACTAGAGGAGTATGGAACATTGAGTTTCCATAGTCCTGGCTAGAGTGGCTTAAAGAACTCATTTTTCACTTGTGTAAATTGTGGAACTGAAATTGAACTGTACAATCCTATTCCAGGCTGAAATTTATTTTAGAGAATTGAACTGTCGATTTCTAAAACTAAATTTTTTTCTGTTCCAGGCTCCGAAATGCATCAGCGAACTTCGCAGAAGCGACAGCGCCATGGAACAATCCAAAAACAACACTATTGCCGACAATGTCAGAAACGAGGGCAACGCGTTCTACCACAATCGCAAATGGATGAACGCTTTGATTTTGTTCAACAACACCATTTGCTACGGTAAACCCGACAGCGCCCAATTGGCCAAGGGTTATGCGAATCGCTCCGCTTTACTGTTTGAGATGAAATATTACAAACAATGTTTGGAGGTTTGTTTTCTATTTAGAATATTTGAATTTGAAACCAAAAATGTAGCTAGTTTTCTTGAAAGATCTTTGATTAAGTAGGTACCAGAAGATAGTTTTTATACTTTCTGACCAATCCATAGACAATACTACCAACCCACTAATTCTTTTTTTTAGGACATCGATAAAGCCCTTAACATAGTAAGTTACACGAGCGACCAAAGACGAAAGCTCATAGACAGACAAAAAGAAGCCAAAAAACTCTTGCCAAAGCAAGAACTGAAATATTTCCACAAGGAAATTCCAGAATTGTCATCTGTCAACCCAGACATCACTGCAGCCTCTCTCTCAGTAAAAATCCAGAAAAACGACAAATACGGGCGATTCATTGAGGCAACACGAGACATTGAAGGTGGAGAAATAATAGCAATTGAGCGTCCTTACGCCATAGCCATTAAGGAGAAAAAGAAAAAAATGTATTGTTCAGAATGTGCTGAATTCAGCCTCAATTTAATACCGTGTCTTAAATGCTCAACTGTAATGTATTGCGATGAGATTTGCCGCGATAAAGCTTTTAAAGATTACCACGAATATGAGTGTGTAGTTATCAGATATTACGATGACGGTTTCATGGAGCATCCCTTAGGTTGGGTGGCGCTCAGATCGGCCCTCAAAGGCCTCAAAGAATATAAAAATTTCGACAAACCCCGCTCCTACCAGAACGTATACAGATCGAATCGCTACAAGGAAATTTTCGAGTTGGACTCTTTTAACAAAGGAATGTCGCAAACTGTCATAATGGAATTGGCCTTTAACATTGCCAAAATATTTCACGTGCTCAAAAACAAGACGGATTTGATTCAGAAATATAAAATAACCGAAAAGGATTTGAAATTTTTGCTTTTGAAGGAAAAATTGACCAACGCCTTAAATAGTTTGCCCATTCAAGTTTATACGCCTGAGGCTGAATGTGTGGGCAAATCTGTTGGAGCTGGAGTGTACGCCTTTGGCAGTTTGTTTAATCATTCTTGTGTGGAGAATGTGGATATTTTTTCTTATGGAGCTGTCCAGGTTTACAAAGCTGTCAAGAAAATAAGGAAGGGAGAGCAGTGTTTTATTAATTATGGGTAAGAATTTTTTTTAATTAATTTTGCACATGAAAATGCTTTTTCTTTGGATTTTTCTCATCCCACATTTATCGTTTTTTCATGTGTTTGAATTGAAAAGCCAACTAATTATCATCTTCCATTCAGAAACTTCTGTTTTAAACTTATACTTTAACGTAGTGTCGAATGGAATCTTTCGAGTGGCCTATTCGAGTTCGGATTTCTTGGAGTTGTGTAATGAAACTCAATTTTGTATAGTGTACAAATATCTGTCATTATAGCATTTTTGAACTCTGCTCCATTATCTGATGTGATTTTTTGAGGTAGGTATTCCATAATCACTAAAATATTTCAATAACTGTGATGTTATCTATACAGCTGTTTTTGTATTTACAGGAGAGGCTTCCTTGACTAATTTTTGAAAAGCTATCAATAATGGTCAGAAATTTCTGGTCATTCATGTATCAATATAAATATGTTCGAAGGGTTTCGTACCAATGGGTGTTGGTTTAAATATAATTTTGTATTGTTGTCGTTCATATTTGGTTTCATTACATATCTCACATACTTTGACATTAGTTATTTACATTACAAGTGCGTTTATGAACATGATTACAATAACGAGTGTGAAAGATTAGAACGACGAGGTCGTAGACCGAGTCGTTCTAATCAGACGAGTTTTGTAGTCATGTTTAAACGAACGCATGATGTACAACGTTTTATCTACAAAGCGAAAAATGAGAATGTTTTTTCAATGATTTTCGTTTATTAGTCGTTGTCTACCTTCATTTTACCTCTACAGGTTTAACTTTGACATTTGTCAAATCACCAAAAATAGTTGTGTTATGAATTCATAACCTAGTCCATAACACAACTAGTTATGTTAGGAGTCTCATAATACAACTCAAATACTTGAAAAATGGTTATGTAAAAATGTCATAACCAAGCGCTTGTAGATAAAGTTATTTATGCAAGTTTTTCTCTATATTGGGCCAATAGAATATTTTCTTACGTAGCAAGACAAGAGAAGAACTGAGGATTTCGAAAATTCCGTTTTTAGCACGGAAAAAGATTATGTTGAACAAATTAATAAGCAAAAGAATTAAGTAACTAAACTGAATAATGCGATTTTCCAACTATTAAATAAAAATTCAAGCTTATTGGAGAAAATTCAGGAATTAGAAGCCAAGTTGTTAAAATTGTCAAGGGATTTGGATGAAATGAAGCTGATTCAGAATAATATTGTGACTAGTATAGAGACATTCAGGCCTATGATGTATCCACTTCTGTTATTTTAACAGCTATGTTATAGCTCAACATCTATACTTCTCTCTATTTCGACGTATAGAACAAACAGTGACAGGCAACTTAACGTTGCTGTTAAAATAACAGAAACTGATACAACATAGGCCTGATTGTCAAGTGATAATGAAGTCTATGTTGATCAATTAAAGAAAGTAAACCTAGAATTGTTCAACTTGATAAGTAAAGCTGTGAAGCAATAGCAGATAAAAATATATTTCTGCTGAAAAAGAAATCCAGACTTCTCCAAAGTATACTCAAGTAACTGGTAATTTTAAAGCGAACCAAAAAAGACGTAGAATACTCTTACTGACGGATGATTTTGGTAAGATTTTCTGAGATTTTCAATCCTCTTTGAGTGGCTTTACAGAATTTGATTTTGACGTTGTTTTAGCGGGTTTGAATGATGTAAATATGCATATTAAACATATTACCTTCTTAGCAAATAAATGCTTCTATACCTCGTTCTATACTAACTTAGTTCTGTGTACTATTCCTTTTGTTCATAATGTCAGTGGTTTATCTTGTAGTATTCAAAATGTTAATAACCAAATTTGTAAAACTACATCTATTTTGAAATACTTTTCCAGCAATGTAGAAATGCTGGACTGTAGGGATGAATTTTTCTTTAGAGACTATAAAGTCAATACTTGCTACCTAAATATGTCTGGGTTGTGCAAATTGGCAAAACTTGTAAAAAACCTTATACTTAATTTTGGCTCTAGAAAACTAGTTAGTAATTTGAAACTGGTTCAGGTGGATGAACTTATGGCAAAAAAATCTGTTGATAATTTGATCCAATTGGCTCAAAGCGAGACAAAGTGTACCTCACATCACAGAGAATTACCAGTGAATGATCGGTTAAAAAAACTGGAACCTTGTGAAAACTGTATCAAACATGGAAGGTTTAAAAACTCCTGGGTAAACTAAGCCTTGAAGGAGATGTATCCATAAACTTTAAGAAATGGAAACAAAGATTCGAAATATATATGGAGGCTTCAGGTGTACCCTCAAATGCGAACATAACTAGTGAGAGAAAAGTGGCAATTTTACTTCATACGATCGGACCAGAAGCACATGATATATCGACGGTAATCTGACAATACCTGCTATGTGCATAAACGTTAATTTTACAGGGGGAATAAAAAACCGTTCTTATTTAAATAAATTTACAACTGAATATCTAAATTTTAAACAGACGTATTAAATATTAATTGAAAGCAGATAGCGGATAGCAGGCTCTATCGTATTGTGCCTAACAAAAATACAAGGCTAACTGTAGAAAAATCGAATTTTTGAATAAAATGTCAGTTAGCAGGTATTGTCAGATCACCGTCGATATATGAAACTTTGGATATTACTGCTGCACAAAAAAAAAAGACTGGAAGGAAGTAAAAAGGTGTTCAAGAATCATTTTTCCCCTATAACAAATGAAACTGTGAGTAGGCATATATTTAACACTCGAAATCCGCTGGATGGTAAATGTTTTGATACATCCTATACAGAATTGAAACACCTAAGTTCAAATTGTAATTTTGGGAGTTTATGTGACAGTCTGATTTGAGATAAAATAGTTTGTGGAATTGGAGATCGCAGAGTACGAGATAGACTTTTAAGAGAGCATAATCTCGACTTAAAAAAAATGCAAAGTCATATGCAAAGCTGCTGATCTGGCTGAAGCCCAAAGCAAAAAAACTGGGGGATGATGAAAAAGGTGTAGTAAAGAAAAAGTCATGGTACACAGATAAACAAAATGAAGGTGGCAGCAAAGAAAATAGATCGAAAAAACGCACCTGTACGAGATGTGGAAGAACACATTGTAGTGACTACAGAAATTTTAATCAAGAATTACAAGGACTTACCAAATAACCACCCCAGGAGAGATTAGCACAACCAGAAACTTCAATTAAAAATTATCTGAACATCGATATCCAGAAATTATTGAAAGCCGATACTCTATACCTATTGACTAATACATTGGAATGTGAATAAAGCAAAAGTTCATGGACCTTTTTTTTAAGTGCTTTCAACAATTAACATTCCAGAGGAGCTGAAATTTTCTAAAAGGATCAATAAATCATGCACGAGCCTATATGATGATACCCACTTAACAAACCACTTAGCGACGCCCTTGATAATTAATTAAAAGGGGACCAAAATACACTAATTGATCGGATGATTCAACCACGAAAAATCGAGGAAACAATAAAGAAATTCAAGACAATGGAGAGACCAATGATATAAAAGGCAACTTTGGCAGGAGAAAACCAGTGTTCGAGAAAGAGCGAGTAAAAGTAAACCGGCAGAACTACGGCGTGAAGGACCAGTGTCGGTTGAGTAATCAAGAAACAAGTAGTAATCGAGAATCGAGAGACCTTTGTCCAGAAAGTCAGAACTACGGCGTGAAAGAGTTGTCGAATTAACCGAGAGAAGAAGCACGACGTGAAATAACAGCGCGAAAATATTCGAGTTTTTATTAAGTGTTCATAATTAAAGTAAATTCCTTCGACCAATAAGATTTCTATGTAATTAGGTGTGGCCAGCAGTAAATATATTATTATTAAATGTAGGTAGAGTTTTTTTTTATGTTCAGCCAGAAATTGTGAAGGCAAGAGTGTGAATCGAGTCAAACTGTAAATAAAAATTTTAACTTGGAATCACATAAATTTTCCTTAACAGTTAATTGATGCTTATTAGAAATCTAACAATTTTATTGTAAGATTATTTATTACCGACGCCTTTTATTTAATAACAAGCTTTATTAATTTTAATAAAATAAACTTTATTTCAATTGACCACAATATTTCTGTGTTTTACTCTCTCCACCTGTAAATAGAACCCACTTTAAACTGTGTCTCCACTTAGAAACTAAAGTCACCGCTCGCCAATTTAACATCTTGCCAAATTTCTGAATTTGGGGTCTCACAACATGTTTATGGAAAATGCCCTGTATATGGCAAAATTTGCAACAGCTGCAAACGGTATAACCACTTTGAAGAGATGTGTTTAAACAAGAATAAAAATAGAAAGACGAAGAAAGCACACTTAGTTCAACAGAAAGAAAGCTCGTCCTAGGAAGACAGTGAAAATGAATTTTTTATTGAACAAATTAAAATTGAAGATGTCGGAACAGGTTGACACCATAAATAAAAGCAGCTGGATACAAAAAGTGATCATAGATAATTATACAGTAAACTGCAAAATAGATACTGGAGCAGAAACAAATATTTTAACAAAAGAAACGGCTTTAAAAATTGGAGCAAAAATAGAAAAATCCAATATGAAATTAATAAACTATGATGAAAGTTCTATCAACAGAATTTATGGAAAAATAAAAATATCATGTGAAGTGTACAAAATAGAGGGAATGGAAACTTTTCAAATTGTAGAACTAAATTCGCCTTGCATTATCGGATTAGAATTTATAGAAAAATACAAGTTAGTAAAAAGAGCAAAAATTAGTTCAATACAGGACAAAAACCAAGACAAAATGTTGATCCATGAAAATAAAGATTTGTTTGATAGTGTTGGAGAAATAAAAAAATGTTACTCACAAGATAAAAATTAAACCAGATGCACAGCCAGTAGTTGAAGCATCCCGAAAAATACCATTGGGAATATAAGATAAACTTAAGGAAGAATTAGACAAAATGAAGCAAATGGAAATTATTAAAAAAGTCAGTCAACCTACAGAATTCAATGGTAACAGTAAAAAAACCTGTTAACTCTTAAAGAATATGTTTAGATCCCCAAAATTTGAATAGAAATATTATTCATGAATGATATGATTTACCAACTTTTGAACAGGTGGTATTAAAGATGGGAAGATACAAATTAAAGATTCTACCAAATTAAGCTGCATAACCATAACAACATTTAATGCGGGTAAATTTGGCAGATATTGTTATAAGAGAATGCCATTCGGCCTTGGCTCAGCACCTGAAGTGTTCCAACGAACTTTGGTTGAGATTTTTGGAGACTTACCTGGCGTACAAGTTTATGTAGATGATATTTCAATCTATAGTGAAAGTGGAGAAGATCATTTGAAGAAATTGATTGAAGTACTTGAGAGAGCAAGAAGTGCAGCTAATGTAAAGGTTAACAAGAGCAAATGCAAGTTTGGAATAAGAGAGGTGAAATATTTGGGACATGTTTTGAGTGCGGAAGGACTGAAACCCGATAATGACAAAGTGCAGGCTATTCTGGATTTTGAGGTACCAAAAAATAAAAAAAATAATTACAGACCATTTTAGGTATTTCAAAATTTTTGCCTAATGTTTCTCAAATTACTGATTTAATGAGAAAACTTTTAACGAAAAACGTTGAATTTTCATGGACTGGAAATCACACTAATGATTTTTCAAAGCTAAAAAAATACTACAAAAAGCTTCTATTTTGAAATATTTTGACATAGAAAAACCTGTAGTTATATCAGTAGATAGTAGTAGTGTAGGATTAGGTGCTGTTATTCTGCAAGATAACCTACCAGTAGCATATGCCTCAAAAAGTCTTACAGCTAATCAAAAAATGTGGGCTCAAATTGAAAAAAAAAAAACTATCGGCGATATGCCATAATGGTTGTGAGCGCTTTCAGCAATATATATCTGGTAAAACAGTAATTATTGTTGAAAGTAATCACAAGCCACTAAAACAAATTTTCGAAAAACCACCAAGTGAGACACCATTAAGACTTCAAAAATTGCGTTTGCGCCTACAGCAATATGATATTATTATTAAATACAAACCTGGTAAGGAACTTTTTCTAGCAGATGCTCTTTCAAGGTCTTATAACAGTAATTCTATTGGTTTGACAGATATTAACCAAGATGTTGAGTTACGTATTAACCTGATTGTGTCAAATTTACCTTTTTCTGACCAAAAATTAAAATTATTTCAGAAAGAAACTGCGGCTGTTGTTGCCGTGGGGATCTTATTCTGATCATCTGTTTAGCTCAGTTTTTGTTCTACAGGAGCGAGCTATCAGGTTCCTATGTAAATTAAATATTCGAGAATCCCGTAGACCTTATTTTTTATCACTCGAAATTTTACCACTGGCATGTATCATATAGAATCGGTCTGCCTTATGCAGGACAAGTTCCACAATGAAATTGTTGCTACTGGAGCGTACCTAGCTAGGTTTTCACATATCATTGCTCTACCTATCCCCTCATCAAATGGTCAAAAAATCAATTATATACAATAGTAAAAAACTCTTTGATCGCCTACCCTTGAATGTCCGTGAAATGGACGATAAGTAGCAATTCAGGCGAGCGGTAAAGAAAATAGTGGTTGGGAAGACTTACTACTCAGTTGACGAATTTTTCATTGACACCTTTGTTTAATGTTTGTTCGTTAAAAAATTCTGCATTGTGCATGATTTTTTTGTCTTTTTTTCAAACAAGATGTCATTGGTTTTGTCAATTTGGCAAAATTCTTTATAAATTTTCGGGGATAATACCACGAGAGCTTCAAAATTACCGATAATTTTTCACGATTGCGTGTTTTCTATAATTTCACGAGTCCGTAGGACGAGTGAAATTTACAGAGAAAACAGGCATGAGTGAAAAATTATCTGGTTCATTTTAAAGCTCAAGTGGTATTTAGAGGATTATTTCACGTATGAGAATGCAAAAAATATGGAAATAAATATGTATTAAATGATTTGAACATCTAAGCAATCAATACAAATAGATGGTTGCTATCAGGAACCGTTTGTTTGTATCAAAAATTAACATGACAACCATGTATAAAATAACATGGGAGAATTATCGAATGTAATACCACAAGAGGTTTCAGGATTACCGGATAATACTTTTACCTGTCACGAAACGCGTTACGCAGCAACACCACGACTCCGAAGGAGGAGTGGTGTTGCTGGTAACGCGTTGAGTGTCAGGTAAAAGTATTAGGTAATCCTGAAAACTCGAGTGGTATTCAAAAGATTATACAACGAACTAAACTTTAATTCTTTATTAATTAATAATTTCATGAATCAAAAATTTAAAATTTTTTTTCAAAAAATGTCAAAACACCAGTTACCGTGCAAAAGGATTATCACTTTTTAAGCCTCTCGTGTCATATGGGAAGGATTATCACTTATTAATCCTCTCGTGTCATATGGGAATAATGTACAGTGAGTTGTATAATCGCTGTAATTCTCTCTAGTTAAACAAATGGAAAAGAGAATTTTCGCTGTAATTCTGAAAATCGTCACTTGTCTTATGGGATTTCTAACACATGAGTGGAATAATCGGTGATAACCTACTAATCTTAAAAATGATTTTATTTCCTTCACCGACTTTGGTATTGGGAATTTTTTAATTGCAATTATCTATTTTGGATTCGGTTTTATTCCATTTGGTGTAATTACGTGTCCTGAGAATTCTTGTCTTGTGTAGGAATTCTGATTTGTCTAATTGTATTTTTAAAATTAAACTCCTCGAGTCTTTCAAATACTTTCTTTAAATTTTTAACATTTTCATAAAGCAAAGTGGAAAAAATTATTATATCATCCATGCATACTAGACATATTTTATTCTGTAGTAATAGTAGTACATTATCCATCACTCTTTGGAAAGTTGCTGGTGCGTTCTTTATTCCAAAGGGCATTCTTTTAAATTCGTAATGACCATTTTCAACATTAAATGCTGTCTTGGATCTCGAATTTTCATGCATCTCGACACGATGAAAGCCAAAGGCTAGATCACGTGTCGTAAAATAATTAAAGTCTGTTTTTTTTCAAGATAATTCCCCAAGTCAAAAATTTAGTAACTATGTTGGCAACACAAGCCTTTTCTACATAAAAAATTTGAAAGCATTGACAATTTTACATTGTATTGCCAACATAATGTCATTTTGACTTTTATCTTTAAAAAAAAAACAGACTTCACCAACAGTTTTTTCGTTTATCTTTTGATAAACAACGACCATTCTCCATTTTTGTATGCCTGCAGCATCTTCTTTTTTAGGTACTACACATGTGGATACCTATACGTTAAAGCATCAAATTCTTCTTAGTTTAAATGACTATATGTTATAGGGTCATTTGCATATTCATTATTTTGTAATGAAGTCCTTTGTTCTATATTAAATATCTCAAACTGTTCATCAGCATAAGGTAAACTTATATCCGCCAAGTTATTAATATTATACGAGAGAATAATAGGCTTATTCATTATAAAAATACTTTTGATATAACTAGCTTATTGAGTTAAAAAGTGGTGAATGCTTGTGTGAATGTTTCTAACTTTTGATAAATTCAGTTTAGTTGATGATTAAATGAGATTATCTTTTCCAGTATGCCTTATCAAATGATGAAAAAATCCGATCGCCAAGAAAAACTAAAAATCCGCTACCAGTTCACTTGCGATTGCCGCGCCTGCGCAAACAACTGGCCGATGATGGGCGAAGGCAAATTAACTGGAAAATTACAAATGACAGATTTGTCCACAAGCGACCCGATGTTGGCCGTAAAACTGGTCCGGCTGTTGCTACTGGTAGAGGGCAAAAATAAAATAACCGACAAAAATCGCGAAGATGTTTTAAAGGAGGTTTTTGAAGTTCTGGACATGTTGAGGTTTCAGGAACCCACCAATATTCATTTGGTTTTGTACGATATTTTGAGTGTCGCTATGCGATACGGCAATGTTTTGTATGAGGATTATTGAGTTTATTTAAGGTAAGTGAGGTCCGGATTATTTCTGGTTTTTATCAGATGGTGATTAAACCGGGCCTAAGTATGTTATTTGTGTTAAAGGTTTTCTTCTACAACTTATTCTTTTTGAGATTTTCGACTTAGAAGCTTAACCTAAGTTTTTCAGTTATTAGAGTTTCAGTATTTTTTGTGGTTGTTGAAACCAATTTAATGTTTGAGAGTTGATATTTTCGTTGTGTTTTTTTTTTGACAAAGAAAAGTTTATTTTTTGTTCTTTGAGAATTAACCTACATTTATTTGAAGTTTTGGTTAGTTGAATGCATTGGAACGAGTTTCTGCTGATAAAAATTAACTACAAAAAAATTATATATACTTTCTTCTAAGACTTATAAGAACAGCTAAAATACTTGATTCAGTGTATTTGAACTACAATCACTATTTGAAAGTTAGTTCTATAGTTTTTTAAGGATGTTATAAGTATTACATTAGAATATTGAAAATTTGATTTTGGCACAAAGCAAACTAGTGAACTTCATGCTAGTTTGCAGCCAACAAATGTTTTTGAAAGTATTTTCGTTTTGTGATAAATCATAATATTAGAATTTAGTTTTTTTTTTATATATTTTCGAATAGAAAATTGATTTCAAATTAACAGTGCCTTATTTGTGTTTCCAATTTCACATCTGAACCTGATGCAGTTATAAAGGATAAAAGTAGCAATATTATGTACCTATTTGCTATGGGTGTATGCACTTTACAGAAGTTAAAAATCAAATAGCCAGTGAGAGAATTCTTATACCGTTTTCCCCAGTTCTTACAAGTCCATTTGGGCTGAGTTCAGTTTTATCTCATCGTCTTCCTGGTGAAGAAAAAAGACTAGTTGCCAAAGACTTCATTCAACCTGAAGACTGAGAATTTAATAATTCAAAGATTAAATTATATAATCCGGAAGATAGGGCATCATGAATCTTAACAAAAGCTGGTTGCCAGTTCTCTGAAAAACAATGACCCACGCCCATAACCCTGGATATAAATAACGCAGGTCTAACAACGTCGAATCCAGTCATCGGAGGAACCTGGAAGAGAACACTTCATCTTCTACCCCATCGTCTCTGAAGTAGACGAAACGTTAGGTAGAAATACTAATGGACCGCAGCATTATAGCCCGGAATTTTTTACTAAGATGGATTTGCAAAACAGACACCAAAGTCGTATAATTTTTAGATTTAGGATCATTTGGACATGTTAAAGAATAAATAAGTTGTAGACTTTTGGTATCCATTGTGTAAAGTATAACCATTCTTTCTTTTTAGTATCAATATAGTCGGTACCAGTAAAGTTCTTGAGAGAAAAACAAAATTCTAACCTTTGTTAACTGTGGACATTACAAGTGTATGATTTGTATGTATTGTACAACCAAATATGAAATATGCAGGCCTTAAGAGGACTAACCACTAAAGATTGGGAAAGTATCTCATGTCTCACAAATCTGTTAAACTACTTGCACTTGAAGATAGTTCAGCTTGAAATATACCTAAATTACCAAAAAATCTCTTCTGTCTGAAACAAGGGTACAGATCAAAGAGATTAAATACCACAACCTAATTGTTTCTAAAATGTCCATGAACAATAATTAAAAACGCATTACATGAACAAAAAATCTTTTAAATAATAATCTAATGCGTCATTAAAACCGCACCGAGGCAAAAACATCCTTAAACCTAATTGAGATTCAATGAAAGCAACCAGTCAAGTTTCTTGCCTTTTAAGACAATGTTCTCTTAACATTTTTAAACAATATCCGTGACGTTGTGTATGATTAAAAATAACCGGACAATTAATTAATTAAACGCGTTCCATTAGTTTATTAACCCAAAAACTGAAAACGATGTTGAAGAAAAGGCGCGTCAGTTGCGTGTGCGTGTGAGCGAAGGCAAAACAATACAAAATTAGGTTTGATAAGGAAAAAAACGATAACACCCAGTTGGTGATAAGGAGTGTAAATTGATAAATAATTGATTACAAGGCGTTATAACGGGATGGTGATGGACTTCTTGAAACAAGTTTGTTGTAATTATGTGGAGTGAGTTTTTTGTGTAACTTAATTTCGGTAAGTAATGCTATAAAGTTAATTATTACTCACGCCCTGTTGTTTGACATTATTACGTCACCGTTTTCTTTTTTGTTTGATGATTAAAATTCATTTGAAAAATTATGTTATTCATAAATAAATTGCGATGAGTCATTTTGTTATTCGGTCGAGTAAGAGGCGAGATTTATTTATGTTTCAATTGCAATTATTTTTATGTTGTTTTATCGATTTTCAATATGAATATTTATTAGTTTAGTAATGATACTTTGGGTTATCACATCACTTGTTGAATATTATTCATAAGTGCGCAAGTTTGCTGTTTGCGTCAATTTTTGAAAAATTTCGTTCGAAAACTCTGTCTTTTTTGAAGAGGAAAAATTAGCTTTGTAAGTATTTGATTGTGCCATCAATTCTGATTTTTCCTCAAATCATTTAATAGAAAACGTTTTGTAAAAATAGAAGAATCTAAAGAGCTAATTTTTTATCAATGTCTAAATTATAAGCTAAGTACATATGTACATGGGGTACATTATAAATTTCTGATTTCCATCAATTTTATTTAATCAGAATTGATAAACAAAATTAGAAATACCAAATTTTCATACTCTTTATCTCTTATCTCCAATGATGATTGCTATTTTTTAAGAGCTTGAGGAAAATCCCATTTTCCATTATAAGAAATCGAATTCGTAGGACTTGGCGTCAATAGCACGTTCGCAAAAATTGATTTTCCGCACTTCTTAGGAAATAAATGCAAATCTTGATAAAAATTTTTAGAAAACAACTTCCGAATAGAATATGGAGTATTTAAAAGCTTCTTGACAAGATTGACAAATCCTAGTTTTCAAACTTTTGAATATTTTGAGCTTCCTGAGGAAATGGAATTCCAATTTCGTTGTGTCTTCTAAAATTCTGTGTCTTAATTGCTCTAAATTTCCTATTTTCTTTTCAGTTTTTTCATCTTAATTTTTCTCTATTCCCGGTTCTCGAATAATTATTTTCTTTTCTATTTCTCAATTTTTTTGTCTAAATTTTGGCTCTTAAATTTTTGCTTTCTTCTTAAATTATTCAAACAAACGTAATTCAGAAAATAAAGTTAATTCGAAACCCCTAACAATTTTTTTCTCAATTCACCTCAAATTTTTTCATTTTTTTCAGCTATATTTTTTATAGTTTAATCCCAACAAAAACATTGTTGAATCTCTGATTCCAAGCATTGAAACTTGTTTTAAAGCATAAATGGCTCGTTTTAACTTTAGAACCTTGTTTTCATTTGTTGTGTCTTGGTTATATCCTTCAGGAATTTGTATACGGGTGTCCCATGGTGGATGGCGTATTAGACGTTTTTGAAGAACTAAAAATCGTATCATTTTGAAAATTTGGCAACCGGGATAAACGACCATAATCTACACTAAAAATATTTTTGTTTATGCGGTGTTGCCGCTTCGACTCTAAAACAGTGGCAACATCGCTACTTTAAATGGAACATCCTATATATATGTGATTGCATATTTTAATTCTGCGTAAAATTCTGAGCAGACTTCATGTGATATACCCTATACCCAAGTTCAACTGTTTTGGAAATATTTACAATTGAAAATTGACTTTTTGCAACTTTGACAGGCTGTAAAGCCTGAACCGTTAATTTTAGAGGAAAACAGATTTCACATTCCTATTTTAGATTTTTATAAACTATCATTTGACACCAACTGTAAATTTAATCCATGATTAAAAATTTCAATTAAATTTAATCTTCAGTTAAATTCAATGTTGGTATCAAATGATAGTTCATGAAAATTTAAGATAGGAATGTGAAATCGGTTTTCTTCTAAAATTAACCGTTTGAGTTTTACAGTCTGTCAAAGTTGCAAAAAGTCAATTTTCATTTGTCAATATTTCCAAAACAGTTGAACTTAGGTACCTATAGGGTATATCACATAAAATCTGCTTAGAATTTTGTTTATTTTATGCCCAATAAATTCTACTTTTTCTTCTAAATCCAACGACATATCAAGCTCATAATTCCAGGAATAATAATTTCCACTAGTGGTCCCATAAACAGGCCTCCGCGATCTCCGGTCAGTACACCGATGGATTTTGTCTTTTGAGGATTCCTTAAGAATGAAGTTAACCGACTTTTCAGAATCCATCGGTGTAATGTCTGGAGATCGCGGAGGCCCGTTAATGGGATCACTAGTGGAAATTAATAAATATTCCTAAAATTATGAGCTTGATATGTCATTGGATTTAGAATAAAAAGTAGAGTTTATTAGCCATAAAATAAAAAACTCGAAAAAACAAAGTTGATGATGATCGCGGAGAAACGAAACGTCTGATCAAAAATCTAATAACATTATCATGCAGTGGAGAAAAAGTGGCAATGAGAATGTGAAGTTTATTTTGCGATATATAAATAAAGTCAGAAAATAATAAAAACAATTTCGGCAAAATTCGGTTTTTCATGGATATCTTTGGAATCGGAATTTCCAAAATATCAAAACATGACACCACTGAGCTCAGTAATGCGCAACTTTTTCCAAATTTAACCAACCCTGTATCTCTTATGGTTGCCAAGATCCTTGTAGACTGCATACTTATCCGGGACACCCTGTATATATCTCAAACTTTTTATCAGTTTTTGAAGTAAGTTTTCTTAGGCGGCGGTCTGATATTTAGATGAGAATATGGAGAGTGATTTGAAAGACGCATCACGTAACGTCACGTTTTGGAAAATTTCGTTACACGAGAGACGAGAGAAAAGGAAGATATAACGTAGACTATAGAGAGAAGCTGAAAGCCAGCCAATGACAATGACAGACGAGGAACGATTGACACAAACCAAGGATTATAAGTAAAGAGAATTGCCTATTATTGTCAAGCTTGTGACGTCACTATAGATGTGCGACTCCCTTTTGTGTGGTTCTTCGTCTTTACCCCGACTCATGTGCTAAGTCTAAAAGCTGGATGAGGGAGGGTATAGTTTTTAAAAAGTTTCACTTCTCAATACGTGTATAATGCTACACATGTTTTTTTTTGAAGTGAAACTTCTTAGGCGGCGGTTTGAATTGGATGAGAATGTAAAGCGATTTGAAAGACGCGTCACGTTACACGTAATGACACGTTTTGGTAAATTTCGGCGCTGTGTCTAGAATCCCGGTACCGGTAATACATTTTTTATCGGTAGTTTTGATGCAACCCGGGATTCAAGCCAATCCCGGTAAAAATGTAGTCGTTGGCGGTTTCTGTTTTATCGAAGTCCAACTTAACCTAACTTTTTATGTTTTTAACTTGTTTTGTTGACGTGTGAACGTAAAGTGGAGTGTTTTCGTGAGTTTATTAACGTGAAATTACTTTTAAAATGGTTTTTAATGTAGGACGAACATTTAAAAGTTATAAAGAAGTTGAAGAGACTTTGACATGTGAAATGTGCCAGTTTGTGTAAAATACCCAAAATGTTGTATTGTTCTGATTGCAAACTTATAAATAAAAAATGAGAGATATTTATTTTAGTTTACATTCTGAACAGTATAGTTACATAATTATATTGACTTAAAGTAAATTAATAAATATTAAATTCGATTATAAACTGCTATATTATAAAATGACATTATTGTAAATTTGTTCAAATTCTCAGGAATCTCAGGGGTTTCCGGAAATATAACGATGACCATAGTTTACTCTCATCTGATTGCAGATTACTTCTAATGTTGGGATGAGTTGTTCGACATTTCCGAACGCAAATCATTTATATAAGGTATTTCGAACCTAACTAACTTTTATACACTATTTTTTCCCAAGATAGATTTTGACATTGAAAACTTTGAAACATAAACAATAACGCTTGACCCTGATTGGTCGCAAAATGAGGTGTTTCTGCAGGTTGACATCAGTTTTACAATATCGACCAATAAGTGGCATTAGCGGCATTGTTTATGTTTCAAAGTTTTCAATGTCAAAATCTATCTTGGGAAAAAATAAACTGTAGTTTGAAATGTTTCAAAAAAGTGACGAAAACATATGATAAACTCACCTAAAATACCAATCAGCTGCTAAATAACGATAAAAACAGAATCAAAACACCGGGATTCTCCTAAATCCCGGTACAAGTCCGTCATATCGATGACGTCATCAAAACTACCGGTAAAAATTGTGTTACCGGTACCGGGATTCTAGACACAGCGAAATTTCGGCACACGACAGACGAGAGAGAAGAAAGATATAACGCGGAGAGACGGAGACAGACAGCCGACGAACGATTGACACAAACCAAGGATTATAAACAAAGAGGACTGCCTATTATTGTTAAGCGCCGTTGTCCTTGTGACGTCACTACAGATGCTCGTTTTTTTGTGTGTAGCCTTTCGTCTTTATACCCCGACTCATGCGCTATGTGTCTAAGGCCCGGTTGTACAATCCAGGCTCAAACAGAGGTTCAGTTGAACTCTACTGGTACTTGAACCTTCCCATTTGAAATGCATTGCTGTCAGAAACATGCCAAAGTGTACATTTTTTGACAGCAATGCATTCCAAATGGGAAGTTTCAAGTACCAGTAGAGTTCAACTAAACCTCTGTTTGAGCTTGGATTGTACAACTGGGCCTAAAGGTTTCATGAGAAAGGGAATAGTTTTTAATATGATTTTTTCAAATGTTTTAATAAAGTTGGGAAAATTAGGAATGTCACCCCCCCAAACCAGAGGCCTTCGCTACGTCCCTGTTAACCCCCACTGAATCTGATATTTCTGGTGTAATAACTGGAATATTCTCGATAAAATCAAGCTTTATTTTCAGTTCAATATCTTCCATAATGATAACATCCCTACTAAGTACAATATTACTAGTTTTAGGATTGTATAATTTATAACCTTGGATTTTTTTCTCCTTTCAGCCTCTTTTGCTTAGGAACTTGCACTATTACATTGCTGCCAAAAATTCAGAAATGACTTACATTAGGTTTCCTTCCTGACCAAATTTCAATTGGAGTTTCATCATGTAAACTTGTGACAATACTTCGGTTGCGTATGTAAACTGCTGTATTTGCAGCCTCAGCACAAAATTTCTTTCCTAACTTGACTTCAAACAGTAGACATCTGGCCTTTTCCACTATTGAGCGGTTCATTGTTTCCGAAGAACAATTCTGCTTTGGAGTTTAAAATGTTGTTAATTGGTGAATGATGCCACATTTCTGCAAAATAACTATCAAAAGTACCATTGCACAATTCACGTCCATTGTCAGTTCTAAGTTTTTTTATTTTCATTTCTCTAACTGATTTTCTGCCATGTTCTTGAAACTGACAAAATTATTAAACTTCTCATCTTTGGTTTTCAAAAAATATTTACTGTAATCATCCACTATTATTACTAACCGATGCCACCTCCATTGGACCAAATACATCTGCATGAATAACTTCTAGCATTTTCGATGCTCGGCTACCCTGACTCGCAAACGGTTTCGGATCTGTTTACTCTCGTTACATGCTTCATAATTTGCTGTCACTATCCTAAAACTGTTACTAAGTTGCACACCTTCAACTGCTCCATTATTCCTCTTACGATCTGAAGTGATATGTCCAATTTTTCCCTTACATCAGTCATCCAGTTTTTGTTAGGAGTTAAATGAACGCTTACCCCTGAAACCATATAAAAATCTTGGCTACTGAATATATACAGGGTGGGACACGAAAAACTTCCCAACCAGAGTTTCTCAGGTGTTAGGTGTTTAATCAAAAATCGCTCAGACACGTCAATTTTTGTTTTTTGGGGGACACATTTTATTGGTAGTTTCACCCCCTACCTGTCAACCTCTAAGTGGGGGTAACAGGTACCCCCAACATTGCGAATAGAAAGAGGGGTCGAGTGATATGTCATTTGGTAGCTATTTTCATTAAGATTATATGCCCGACGTTTTAAGTTACTAGTGTTTACCCTGTCGAAATGGCGGCATGTCAAAGTAAGCATAAATGTTTTCTTTCGATTATTCCACTCATGTGTTAGAAATCCCATAAGACAAGTGACGATTGTCAGAATTACAGCGAAAATTCTCTTTTTCATTTGTTTAACTAGAGAGAATTACAGCGATAATTCTCCCATGTTGTTGTATACATGATTGTCATGCTAATTTTTGATACAAACAAACGGTTCCTGATAGCAACCATTTATTTGTATTGATTGTTAAGATGTTCAAATCTTTAATATATATTTATTTCCATATTTTTCGCATTCTCATACATGAAATAATCCTCTAAATACCACTTGAGCTTTAAAATGAACCAGATAATTTTTCATGAATGCGTGTTTTCTATAATTTCACGAGTCCGTAGGACGAGTGAAATTTGCAGAGAAAACACGCGTAATTTTGAAGCTCTCGTGGTATTATCGGGGATAAAATTTTACATCATCCCTTTTTAGGCAGCTTGTGGGCATTATTCTTGTAAAGTGTTACCACCATATAAATAAACTTAAAACTTAGACACAGGAATGTTCAAAGAATGTAAAGAAAACAAAAAAAATCTCTATCGCAGCCCTGTTTCACTCTATCTGCACTGCACTACTCCATCCGTTCTTTTCTATCTGCACTATTCTATCTGATCTACTCTTTCTGCACCACTCTATCTGATCGGAATAGTGGAATAGTTCTGTTCGTATCAGAGATAGCGCCGTATACAAAATGGTTTGCGATGAAAATGTGGCGGTAAACTTGGTATCGGTTATAAGAGATGGCGCCGTATGCGGGCTTAGTGAATTTTTTTCATAAATAAGTAAAATAGGTATTTTTTTTTTTTGTTGTTTTTTGGATTTTTTGGATTTATTATGTTATTAGGGACAAAGACAAATCCAATAAAGCAAAAATCATAAAAATCAGTCCAGCCGTACTCGAGTTATAAGTGTTAGAACCAACAGAACTGTCTTTTATATACACTGCTCAACAATCGAACTGGATAATTACAAATATACTAAAATCCTCATTTAAAAAAATAGAAAATAAAAACGTGTTTTATATTATGAATAACCAGTTTATTGATAATCAATTAACTGTTTATTGATAATATAAAACACCTTTTTATTATCTATTTGTTTAAATGAGGATTTTAGTATATTTGCAATTATCCAGTTCGATTGTTGAGCAGTGTACCTATATAGATAGCTCGAATAACCATAGAGATTACAACAAGCTCACAAGTTACTACAATCTTATTCAACTAACTAGTAACTAGACACAAAAAACTTGACATCATAATCAAAGTTTCATAGATAGCTAGAGAAATTGGTTTCTTTATGTTTGTGAATCCTGTAATTTTAACAATTTGGAGTCTATCAAAACTTTTTGAACAACGTGAAATTCAAATTTCATAAAGAATTGGTTTTCAATCAAGTTTTCGAGCTTTCTTAAAATGTCATGGAATTCAAATTTCCTAAAAAGCTACTTTCAAAAGGGAATTGGAGTTTTTTAAAGCTTTCTAAACATCAAGAAATTCAAATGTTATGAAAAACAGTTTCCAACAAAGGTTTCAAGTAGGTTCAAAATTCTTAAAAAATCTTATGAAATTTCAATTTCTTGAAGAGTTATTTTTAAAAGCCACTTGATGGAGTCTTTCAAGACTCTCTGAACATCGTGAAATTTATATTTCATAAAGAATGGGGCTTCAAGTATTTTCTAGCCTCCTGAAAATGTTATGAAATTCAAATTTCTTGAAAAGCTATTTTGAAATTGGAGTCTTCTAAACATCAAAAAAATCACACATTTCGTGAAAAACAACTACCAGAGCATTACATTTCTGAGCGTTTTCTTATTATTGATTTTTCTCTCAATTTCTCAATTTTTTCGTCTGGATTTTTTTCTATTCCTGGCTTTTGGATCTGAACTTCTTTATAGGAAAAATAATTTGAACCTTATTACATCAAAATCGAATTGAAATGTGCTACAAAATAAGCGTTGATGTAGGTATTTAAAAAAAAAACAAATTTCAAAAAATGACAGCAATTTTTTACCTATGCAAAATATGCGTCGATGTATTTTTGAAAAAAAAAAAAATCTAAAAATGATAATGATTTTTTGACTTTGAAGCTCTGCAGGCAACTGCGATACTATATGATATTCTTGAAGAATTTTACTCATCACAGCAACTCGAGATTTTAAAAATTCATAAACTAGAGTATTCCAGGTAAAATTAGAAATTGATATGACGCTTTGAAAAGGATTTTTATTTTAATTCTAGAAAAATCGTTGTAAAACCACCTTGGAAAGTTTGTGATAAATACTTCCACTAATCACAACGACTTGAAAGTTTCAGAATTTATAAATTGGAGTTTCTTTCAGTTAGAAATCAATTCGGAAGTTGATGACATGCTCTAAAGGGATCATCAAGTTTCCAACTTAATCCTGAATCAATCATGATATTCCTGTAGAATCACCAGTAAGTGATAAATACTTTGACTCATCAGAACAGCTTGAAATTTCCAAAATTCATAAACTGGAGTCTTTTCCAAATTCCAGGTAAAATCAGAAATTGATATGACGGACGATTTGAAAAGAATCTCTACTTTAATTCTAGAAAAATCATAAAATTCCTGTAAAATCACCTTGGAAAGACGAAAGTCTATGACAAAGACAATCACTACAACGTCTTGAAAGTTTCAGAATTTATAAAGTGGAATTTCTTTTAGTAAAAATCAATTCGGAAGTTCAGTTTCATACTCTGAAAAATATCATTTTGTTTCCACCTTGATTCTGAAAAAATCATGATATTCCTATAAAATCCCCAGTCCGTGATAACTTTGATCTATTAAGATTCATCAAAGCAACTTGAAATTTCCAAAATTCCTAAACTGGAGTATTTTCCAAATTCCAGGTAAAATCAGACATTGATATGACGCTTTAAAAGGGATCTCTATTTTAATTCTAGAAAAATCGTAAAATTCTTGTAAAATCACCTTTGTAAGTCTCTCACATGAACTTTCACCAATCACAACGACTTGAAAATTTCAGAATTTATAAATTGGAGTTTTTTTTCAGTTGAAAATTTATTCGGAAGTCAGTTTCATGCTCTAAAGGGATCATGTAGTTTCCAACTTGATCCTGAGCCAATCAAGATATTCCTGTAGAATCATCATTAAGTGATAAATACTTTGACTCATCACAGGGCAATTTGAAATTTTCAGAATTCATAAACTGAAGTATTTTCCAAATTCCAGGTGAAATTGGAAATTAATATAAAGCTTTAAAAGGAATCTGTACTTTAATTCTAGAAAAATCGTAAATTTCTTGATGTAGTCACCTTTGAAAGTCTGTGATAAAGACTTTCGCCTATCACAACGACTTCAAAGTTTCAGAATTCATAAATTGGAGTTTCTTTCAATTGAAAATCAATTCGGAATTTGATTTCATACTAATCATACTCCGAAAAGGATCATTTTGTTTCCACCTTGATCCTGAAAACATTATTATATTCCTGTAGAATCACCAGTAGAGAGATAAATAGGTACTTTAAACTACAATTATAAAATGTTTCCTCAAAAAATTAGAAAATTCAGATTATAAAACCCGAAGGGAACAAAACCCATTATAGAATATCTCATTTACTCATCAAAATTAAGGCCAATTTAACTAAATTGTTTCTATTTTAGCAGGAGAAAGGAACAAAATGACCAACATAAAAATTACGGCAGTAGGCGACGGAGTCGTCGGCAAAACTTGCCTACTCACCACCTACGTCACAGGAGAATTCCCGGAGGAATACGTTCCAACAGTGTAAGGAATCAAAGCATTTATTGTTTTAAGCAAAATGTCTGGGACTTTTGAAAAAAGAACTTCTTATTAATTGAAGTTTCTTTTTGGGACTTTTTTTGTTAAAATGAAGTTGAGACAATTTGTATCCATGTCTGATTGAAATTTTGATCAAAACGTCTTCACTAAAAGCCCTTCGGAAATAAATTATCACGTTTTATTTTAGATTCGAGCATTACGGTGATAAAATTACAGTGGACGGTATCGAGTACGATATGACCTTATGGGACACAGCTGGACAAGAAGATTACGAGAGACTGAGACCTTTATCGTATCCTGGTGTAAGTAAACTAAATGTTAATTCTAATCAAAGAGATTATTTTTAATATTTGGACTCTTTTTTCAGACAAATTGTTTCTTAGCCTGCTTCTGCGTGGACAAAAACATAGCATCGTACGATAACATTCACATGAAATGGGTGCCCGAAATACGACATTTTTGTCCTGACACGCCAATAGTTTTAGTTGGTACGTATATTCTCAGACCAATTTATCAATGATTTTTTTACATTAAATTCGAATTTTTGTATTTTCCAGCAACGAAATCCGATTTAAGAGAAAATCCCAGTATTAAATGTTACTCCCAAGACGAAGGCCGCAAACTTAAACGCAAAATTAAGGCTCAAAGTTACAAAGAATGTTCGGCTTTGAGAAATGAAGGCTTGAAAGAAGTAATTATAGAGGCTATACAGGTGGTGCAAAAGTATAAAGTCAAAAAAAGGAACACTCAGTGTCAATTATTGTGAAAAAATTATTAATGATATTAAACTCGTGATATACCTAAATATTTACTATGATATTTTTTGCTTTAGTGAAAGTAAAATCAACCTTTTGGCCTTTCGTTTGGTGCAATAAAGATTCAAGGGCCAAAGATTTCTTTCAATAAAGCTAAATTCCTTTTAGTGTTGTATTATTTTTGACTGCAATTTAGTTTTTTAAAGAAAGTAAAATTTCCTTTCTGCATTTTAGATTTGTTCCTGCAAAATGATAAACATATAGCAGAAAGATTAAATTAATTATGATCATTTTTAATATGTTGCAGGAACAGACCTACACTTAAGTAAATGATGTGTATTATTTTGTTTTAAATATTTTGTCTATATAAATCAAGTCCACAATGTTAATATTCTATTTATTCGAAATTATAATGTAATAATTATTAATTTATTCCTTAATTTTATTTAGAATTGTATTATTTTTATTGATGTTATTTTGGAATAAATTTTAAATTGAAATTTCAATATGATATAACATGCTTATAATCTTTGCTTATTTATTGCTTTCTCTTTCCTTTCCACACTTATCTAATTTCCCAACAAGATTTCTGAAAGTTGCTCCAAAATTCTTTTTCTTTTTAGCATACCTCTCTATATCTCCTTATTGGTCAAGATTTATTTAAGTTATTTTAGTATATTTCTTTTTTCTTATTGAGATTTTTTGCAAGTTCTTCGCAATAATTATCACTGTTGTTTATTTTATTCTTTTCACCATCAAATCCTCCTGAAGATTTTTTGAGGTTCCTCGGAATCCCTTTTCTTCAGCTTTATATTCTTCCTTAGAAAGATTGGTAGTTATACAGTATTTCAATTTTTGTTTCTATGTGTTTTCCATCAGGATTTGTATTTGTTAACAGGCTTTCAGTGTGGAGAATTTCATTGGCTTTAATTAGAGCATAATTGAGTTGAAATCAAATGAAAGGAGCTATGAGGCAAAAACTGTCCCGGTGTCATTTTTGGAAAATTTTCTATGTTTTAGAATTTCAATTTTGAGCTTCTCAGCTGCAAAACTGTTGCAACCAAATTAAAATTTTAATTACCTAACGAGTTTTTATTAAGAATTTTATTGGCTTTAATAAGATAAGAGCCTAATTCAGTTGAAATTGGATAAAAATTAAAGGAGCTATAATGAGGCAAAAACTGTCTTGGTGTCATTTTTTAAAAAAAAATCAATGTTCGATAAATTCAATTTTGAAACTTCTCAATTGCAAAACTGTTGAAACTTGAAACCAAATTGAAATTCTAATCAACAGGCTGGTAGAAAATTTCATTGGCTTCAATTAGAGCTCAGTCGAGTTGAAAACGGATGAAAATTGAAGGAGCTATGAAGCAAAATCTGTCTTGATGTTATTTTTTGGAAAATTTTCAATGATCGATAAATTCAATTTTGAAACTTCTCAGTGCAAAACTGTTGCAACCAGAATTTAATTGGCATCAATTAAAGCTTAATTACATTGAAATCGGATGGAAATTAACAAAGCTGTGAGACAAAAACTGTCTCAGTGTCATTTTTGGAAAATTTTGAATGATGGATAATTTCAATTTCGAAGCTTCTGAGCACTAGTAGAACTGTTGACACTACTATTGTTAATTTGAAAGAAGTTTGCGGCATTAAACCAATAAATATTTATTTCAACGCAAAAAGAACATGAGAAGCCAAGGTTTTTTAAAAGAAGGAGGTACATAATGCAAATCTCCATAAGGCACCCTAGTTACCCATTACCAGGCAACCTATGAACCTTGGATGACAAAATGAATGACATACCATATCAAAAACGTTTAAGTACCACCAATCTGTGCTACCAGCTAAATTCACAATAATAGCAGGTATAATTCTGGATTAAAACATCTCTAACAGCCACTTTTAATCCAGGAATACCTTAATAATGTTTATTCTAAACCTAAATTTTTCATGTGTTCATTATGTTTTGGTCCTTGCAAACTTTTAGTGAAAATATTATTATTCTCAACTGCATCTCTTATAAAATGATACTTAACATTTATATGTTTAGTAGGTACGATTGTGAAACATAGGATCACTACCAATTTCTGGGCACTTTGATTATCCATTTTCCAAATCTAAAAGCTCATTTAAAATATAACATTATACATATATACATACTCTGCTTCAGTGCTGTATAAACTTATGCAACTTTGTTTCCTCCTAAGAAATTGCCCCTCAAGCCAAGCTTGAAAACATATCCACTGTATGATTTTCCATCATTAATGTCATTTCATCAATCTGCATCACATTATCCACAAATATATTCATTATCTTTCTCAAAACCCAACTGCTTATCAAGAGTCCCTTTTAGATAACGTAAGAGCCTTTCAGCATAACATGTTGAAAATGAACATTTGTATAGCAAATATTATTATACTGACTTAAATAATTTACTGCAAAACAGAACGTGAATTTACTGCAAGAAACATTAATGACCCAATTAAACATTGATATGGTATATTTTCATCTGGTGAGTTAGGTTCTTTTTCTTATATCAAGTTAGCTTTCATAGGAGCGATAACCGATTTTGCCTCGGTCATACCAAATTTGTCTAACAATTTTAAAATAATCCTTTTGATTAATTTTAATTTCGTGATTTAACTTTAATTTGTCGTATTTTATGTTTAAACCTAAACAACTTTTGATCCTACCCAAATCCTTGATTTTAAAATTTTTAAACATAGTGCTCTGAGTTTTTTTTTTTTTTTTGTATCATTATTTGAAAAAATTAGAAGATCATCAACTTAATAATGCTGCATAACTAAAGAATCTGATAATTTTTTAATGTAAACACAGCTTTCATATTGAGACTTTTTATATATCCCACCCAAACCAACCAGGATTTGTTCAACTTTCTTGTTTCACATTCTGGAACTTTCTTTTAGACCATAAATAGCTCTATTCAGTAAACAAACTTTAGTTTTGTCAGTAACATATTCCTCTAGTTCAGTCATAAAAATCTCTTCATTCAAGTCACTATTTAGAAAGGCCATATAGTGACATCATTCATCTCAAAAATAAATGGATAAGCAAAGAACGCTTCTAATGCTGCTAATTTACGAGGTCATAATCTAAACAAAAACAACTGACTGGGACAGCGGTAAGCGTGCGCAGTAGATACATGTACTGTGCGTGCATAAAATCTGGCCAATGAAAAAGAAGGAAAATTTAGAACAGTTGTTCCAATGATAAGACAATGCGCAGGCGTTAGGCTGTTCCGTTGAACAACTGTTCGTAGAATATTGACCCCAAATTTTCGCACAAATTTTGCCAATCAAGCCGTATGATTGTTTATCCATTTATTTTTTAGATCAGTGAGTGACATCCATGTGATCTATTATTATAGATCCAAATTCAAAGACAATGCAAATAATAATTTCTTTTCACTGGAGAAAATGTTTCTGTACAGGGTGGGCCAATTTGGACACTTTCCTATGGAAACACCCTTTATTTTTAGAGATAGAAAAAAATGAACCACCCACTCTGGGGCTCAAATTTTATGAAATTTTGATTGGTGCAAACCGCATTTTGATATCTTAAACCGTTTAGCCGCTAGAGGGCGATTCTCGATTTTGAGCAATAATGTGAAACCATCATAACTTTTTTATTTATGAAAATTATTATCTTTAGCTTTAAATATTTTTTCCTCATTCATACCATCTTTTATTCGATATACCAAAGAATATTATAGACTAACGTCTCTAGAAGAACCGTCCGGCGGCGAAAATATAAACCTGCGTGATGGCGCTAGTGTCCTAGTAAAATCAGTCGTTTCTGCGATTAAATTAATTTGAGGCACTAAATGCACGCGTATTTGCTAGGCTGCGTTGCCAAGTTGTCTTTTGTATAACAAATTAAATGCCTGTGTTTTATACAGGTACTTATTATACATATACCTACCTACCATAGAATAGAAATATTTTATAATTTAAAAAAAATAATAAATAGGTAAATAGTTATGTATTTTTGTGGGTAGTAATTTTCTGTTACTAATAAATAGAGGAATAAAACACAAAAATTGTTTCTGTCTGTCTGTCTGTCTGTGTGTCTACCTATGTCCGTTATAGACTTTGAAACTATCCGATCGATGTGCCTCAAACCAGTTTAATGTTTAATATGAAAGGCAATAATAATAAGAAGGTTTTAGACCGCTAATGACAGGTGTCAACTGTCAAATTAAGACAGTTGCAGATTGAACCATATCTTCACAACGGATTTTGCTGAAATTTAGCATACACTTCAAGTTCAGGTAATTAGATGATACTACATTTTAGATCACTAATGACAGGTGTCAACTGTCAAATGTGACAGGTGCAGATTTTTGAACCATTATTTCGCAACGGATTTTGCTGAAATTTTGCATACACTTTAAGTTCGGATGATAATACATTTTAGACCACTGATGACAGGTGTTAACTGTCAAATGTAACAGATGCAGATTTGTGAACCATTTCTTCGCAATAGATTTTGCTGAAATTTTGCATACAGTTTAAGTTCGGATGATAATACAATTTGGAATACTCAACACTCAACAGCTGTCAAATGTAATTTTTGACAGCTGTCAAAATATGACAGGTCGAGAGGTGAACAGGTTGTCAGGACTACCCCCGTCTTTGAAAATTTGCTTTTTTCGACAAATAGACAAATTTCAAAAATAAATAACCCATAATTTTGCACACCGATTTTCAAAATTTGCACACTTTTCTAGGGAAAGTTATATCGTATCAAAAATTTGCATAACCCCACCCGTTTTTAAAAAAATTGTTAGACCCCTATGCTACTCGTTTCATTTAATTTTGGACAATTTTGCACACCTATTTTCAAATTTTGCACACTCTTCTGGGAAAAGTTATGAGGTGTAATAAATATGCACTTTTTTCCCCGTTTATCTGAAACTTGAAAAATTCTTATGCTACTCGCTTCGGCTAATTTTGCACACCTTATTTTTAATTTTACACATTCCTCTGAGAGTTGAATGTTGTATTAATTTGCACGTTTTCCCCTGTTTGTCAAAAAATTGAAAAACCCTTGCTACTGGGTTCACTCAATTTTGTACGTTTATTTTCAACCCGAATTGAGTAACATAAAAATTTTTAATTTTCTCAAAAAACCGGCGGAAAAGTGCACATTTTGCAAAATTTGAAAATAGGTGTGCAAAGTTGTGCAAAATTAGGTGAACCTAGTAGCATAAGGATTTTTCAACTTTTTGAAAAACGAGGGGGGGGGGAGAGTGGGGAGAGTGGGGAGAGTGGGGAGACAAGCAAATTTGAGGGGTGTTGCAGCACCATTTTTTGTTTTTTTTTTTTTTTTTTTGGAGTTTGATGGAAAGAAAATGA